ATAATACAAACCAATGACTTATCTTCTTGTTTGTCTATTTTAGACAAACCTGGGAGAGGGGAGACAGCTATCCACAAGCCGCCTGCCAGCCCTGATGCGGGCTGGTGCCCAGACGTGGCCTGGGCGCTGCACCCGTCTGCATGCTCAGGGCCCACACTGCCCAGCAGCTTCAGAAGAAAAAACCCAGAGTCCTCCTGTATTGCTTGTTCAAGAACCGAGTAACCGCTACTCTCCTGTGAAGACCAATACTGCACGCCTCAAATATTCTGGAGCACTAGAGGAGAAGAGACGATAAAAAGGAACCACAGAGGCAACGAGGGAGCTTGGCCGGGAATGTGGCAAGAAGTAATAACGAGGAAGAGAGCCTTCAGCGTCCTTACAGGTCATTTTAGTTGTAAAACACAAGGATTTTGTAACGTCCCGACAGCGGCGTTTGAGGGAATTTAGAGCCCCAATCAAGTCGTCCCCCAGCCCTGCGCCATTTGGAGTTTCCATCGGACACTGCTCCCTCCTGCGGGACAGTTTTATTTGGTGATTTTTATCTGGAAAATCTACGCACGCTTTGTACTTTTCGTTTACCAATGCTGTGAGCCTACGGCTGGCTCTAAAAAAGAAAACCTACGGGCCAGGGATCCCTTTTACCCCCGACTTCACCAAACCCCTGGCCCGGGCGGACTCAGGCCTCGCAGGGCAGCCTGAGACTAGGCCTCAGGCCAGGGAGCCTCTTCCTCACCGTCTTAAATGTCATTCTGTTCATGCTATTTGCCTTCACGTTTTTATTTTGGTCTAAGTTATCCAGTATTTCTGACCCCCTGGTTTTGCGCGTTTCTGGCGTGTTAGAAACCGGGGTGCAGAGACCCCGGGAAGACACCGATGCTGCGACCTCGCCGTCCGCAGATGGACGGTTTTGCTCCTAGAACACTCCCGGTGTGAGGCTATTTTTTGTGTCATGTTGTCTTACGGAGGTCTTCCCCAACTCCCTGTCAGGCAGAGCCGGACTGGAGATACTGTTTCGCAGCTGGGCCGCCATCGTGTGAAAGGGGAGGGCCGAGCCCTGCAGGCCGTGCCAGTCCGGATACCCAGCCTGGCTCCCCATTCCCCAGCCTGGCGCAAGGCTCCCGTGGGCGAGGCCTGCAGTAGCGCCTCGCGGCCACCAGGGGGCGCGCGCGCCCTCCGTCACAGTCACACCTGTCACCTCGCCGCCAACAGCAGCCCACAGCGCGTCCCCAAGAGGCAGAAACACACCTTCCTCTGTCACAGCGCCACGGTGACATGCGGGATGTACACAGAATCCTCAGTGTGTTTTATAACCACTGTCAGTAACCCCCGGCAGACCAACTTTCCTTTTCTTCAATAATTTCTCTGAGAAAAATACAGCAGCAGTCGCGTGGGGTCTCTTTTACCTGCCACTCAAGATGATGCTCAGAATGCTTGTTGCCATAGCACCCACAGCCCGGGACGCCGTGCTTCTGTTTTCTTAACGTTGGCTCACTATTTCAGGTAAGCAATCAGGAACTCTCCAGAGGGTTCTAGAACACGCGGGGGAGCGGGCGGGCCGCCCGCTCAGTCTCCGCGCGGCCCCGCCCCGCTCCCAGGCACAGCGGAGTACACGAGGCGGCGCCCTGCGGAGGCTCAAGGACGCCGAGCGCAGACACTGCGGCGGCCCTGGCCGTCCCAAACGCCTCCCTAATTAAGTTTTTGATTGCGCTTTCAGGCATCTGTCAGTTTTGCTCGTTAACAGAAAAAAACTAAGCAATGTCAGGCAAAGCATCTTTCCTTTATCTCCTGGAACAGAACATGAGCTAAGCTTAAGGGCTCTTGTGCTACCTGGGCGGTGGCTAACACACCTGGGGCCTGGCTGGGGCACCTGGGGCCTGGCTAACACAACTGGGCCCTGGCTGGGGCACCTGGGGCCTGGCTGGGACACCTGGGCCCTGGCTGGGGCACCTGGGGCCTGGCTGGGGCACCTGGGGCCTG